GTATATTGTTCTGTAGACAAAGTTTATTATATAATTGTTCTCAGTCAGCCAGGTTGACAGGAGCTGTGTGAATAAAACTTCCTCATTCTCTTCTTTGATATAGAGTATTTAAGTTTCAGGGAGTAAAGCAGCAAAAATGTTGCTAATAAAATCTTGAGGTTACCCAACATTCATAAACTTCTTTCTGCTCATAGGTCAAACATTTTCACTTAAATAGGAATATACTGTGTCCATGACCTTATTAAAAGTTACAGTTTAGTGTTCTGTTTGGTTTTACCAAGTTTTTTCTCCCTTTCATTTTTACAAATGATGGACACCCGTGGCAGAGAACTTTAATCAAGGTCTTTTTTTCTTGGTTGTCCACCAGATAACCAGGAGACAGGATCTGGTTGTCCGAAATGAAAATATGTTGTCTCGGACAACCTAAACAATGGTTATGTCTACCCCTGCGTCATCCATCCATCCATTATCTATTATCCATCCATCCATCTATCTATTATCCATCCATTATCTATATCAGCTTCTTTCTTTATGGGTCCCGGGGGTCACTGCTGCCCATATCCAGCAGTCACAATGTGAGGGTCAGGGTGTAATGGAATACCAATTAAATAAGAACATATATGAGATGTTTCAACAGTTTTAGAGTGACAAAAAGCCACTATAAGCCAAAACTTTGTACTACAAAAAAGAAGAAGAAACAATAATGACAAATTTTATGAAAATAACTATAAGGTATACACTTACAACTATAAAATGTTGGAGTCAGTCTACTTTAAAACAGCTGTTAAAGTTAATAAACATTAGTAAGCGTTTACTAAGCTGACACTTAAAGTAGCTTAGAGTAATTCACAACTCTTACTCTGAGTGTGACTTCTTCTGATTTTGCAGGAGGTATGAAAAGGTTTTCAAGGTTTTGACCAAAACAAATATAATTCACCTGCCGTTATGCCAGAGTCTGAACTTGAAATCTTTTGTTAATATATTTTGAAGTAGATTATTATTAGATTGCAGTAAACATCAGCAYGGATACAACAGCTACCAAAGTGTTGTATATTCCTGAAATCTCAGTTTTATGAAATGTTTTTTGAAAAGCAATAAATGTATATTCCCTTTAAATTCATTTTTTTTTGTTTTATACATAGGTCTATTATTGTATTATCAGGAATTGTATTGTCCAATACTCTTCTCTTTTCTATGGCTTTTTCTAAGATCACCTTTTCCTGCCTTTTCATCATTTAAGAGAGAAAGTGTGACAGAAAAGAAAAAAAACATACAGAAAATGCAATTAGAGAGCTTTCTAAAAAATAAACCAGACAAGAAAAATACAGTTTGCTTTCTTTTAGCAAAATCATTCTCACATCAGCAGTTCTTCATTCAGTTACAATCTGTGGTTCTTAAGCTCGCAGCGCCCCTTGTGGCCACTTTTATACCCACAGCAGCACACAAGCCCTTTCCATCAGTGTATCATGATCTCTTATTAGTTTGGATCACTTCAATTAAACAGAAATTTAATTCCCTGAAAAACTGAAAACAGGAAAAAAAAACATATTTGGTGTCATAGCAGATCTGATTTTAACAAGAGGAATTTGTTTCTGAGTTATATAAGTGTCTCTGCAGCAGGTGGGATGAGAACAGAGAGGAGGACGGAAAAAATAACCACAAGACTTGTGCACATTTTCTGCTGTACTAATGTGTAATTAGTTAWGCTATATTAAAAAAAGAGATAATTTCTCTGTTTTCTGTCAAGGCAATTGTTGCCCCACAGACCACCCCCACCCAAATACACAGGAGCCAAGCCACGGTGAAGTCATGCTTTCCAGATAAAACGTGTTTTTTTCTTTTTCTTTCAGTTTTCAGATGATATTCCCTGCCCTCTGACAGATTAATTGGATAAAAAAATAAGACAGGAGGGAAGACATTTCTGTAAAAAAAAAGTGGACATATCAGATTCCCTCAGCCAGATCCCCACATCCCTTTTTTAGTTCATAACTGCCATGGGTGTTAATTATTAATGAGGACAATTCTCTGGCGTGTGGATGAGTCATACTTTCTGCTGCTTGGGTTTTCAAAAGCCCCAAAGGTTGGATTACTACAGAAACAGAAGGAAAAAATCTTATCCCTAAAAWGGGCATGAATGTTTGATAGGTGTCTAAAAACAGATGGAACTTTGTTGCCTGCTCAGTAATAGTTGGCGTGGAAGAAAAAAGTCCCCACAAGGAAGAAAATGTTAAGAGATATTTGCAAGGCAGTGGGAAGTTGGGACGCCAAAGATGCTACAGCACCCCCTAAATGATGCCAGAGGACATCCATGGCCAAATAYAAAGATAAGAAAAATATGAAAAAGCTATCTTTATTTGTTTAAATTCTAGTCCATCCATCCATTATTTTACACTTTCTTCAAAGTTGGGGCTCGGGGCCAGCAGCTTCAGCAGGGAAGCCCAGACCTCTCTAAATTTTAGTTATGTTGTGAYATTATTGACTTTAGTAAAACCGGTATGAGCCTATAAACCAACAGTTATTATTTACTTGTGTGAAACATTTTACCACCCCTAAAAACCCAGAAACAAACAAGCAGGTGTCAGATCATGATTGTAAGTTTTACACATTTGTACAAAATATTCACCCCATTCTTGGCRTTCATGTTCAGAAAAGACAAAAGGCATCTCATTGTATTACTTGGTGTAGTGATATCCTTCTTGAGTATTTAGGGTCATAATTTTAGCCATGCTCCAGCACCCCTGAGCTGAAATGTGGATTTAAGCTGAAACTGTCAAACAGAAAAATGCTAAAAACAGCACATTTCCATCTTTAAATCTCTTCAAGCTGAAAATTACTTTGATTTTAACAAAAAACATCAAACTTTTCCTTAGAATTAAATAGAGTAGTACATGATATATTGTTTGAAGAGCAGTAAACGTTCCCTCATAGCGTCACAGAATTCTATTTCACACGGAGCTCAAAGTTAAAACTCAAAGTGGTTCAAAACAAACAACAAAAAAAKGGTGTTCTCTTAAAGAAAAGGGGGACAAGATAGAAATAGGTGCTGATTTTAATACCTTGATTTCAACATGATTATACAAGAAAAATTAACCAATATACAGGAGATTTATGACCAATAGAAAATTGTATTTATTATACTTTCCATGATACATTCTACTCATTTGTAATGTCATAAACACTCATAGTTTTAACTTAACAGTACTTAAAAAATAAGAACCAGATAGAATTAAAATGTTTAAAAGATTTTTGAAGAACAACTTGAACTAAATAAGTTAAACAAAATGGTTTGAAGCCATCGTGTCTGAGCACAGGGTGTTTTTCCCCAAGATTTTTTCAGGATCTAATATTTAGAGCTTCGATTTGTTGCCTTTCCCATGATCGTATTACGTCTCCTTTATTCCCATTCCAACAATCCCAGAAGCAGATTGAGTTTAATGCACATTTATTTTGGTTGCATAATGTCGATAAGAAAATCTTTTACAAGATACTGTGGGAGGAAATAGAAGAATCAGGAAACTGCTCAGGATGTCACAGACTATCAGACCTCAGCTCGGCAAACAGAAAATTGCAGATTACATTTTACAACCTTTCATATGTAAAGTCAGGCTTTTCTGTAAAATGGAAAACAACAAAACCCCTAATAGCCAGTCACTTATTGTGRCCTGAATAAGCTCTAAAACCATTATTAACTCCTCTCCACTCTATGCATTGCTCTTTTTTTAAATAATACCAATATATTTTTTAAATAATCCTGCATAGAAAAATAAATTAACTATGTTTTTTAACTCTGAATTAAGAGCTGAGAAGGGGGATGGGGGGACGTTGGGCACCAGCTGAATTATATTAGCAGTTTGTTTGACTGACAGTCTCTTGAAGATGCTTCATCACACAGTATCAGTGTGTTCATATGGAGATGTTAGTCTTTTCTTGTAATTTACAAACCAGTCCCACAGATACAAACAATGTAAGACTTACAAAATAAATTCCAGGATACGCTTACATGGCAAGCAGCTTTGTAACGKTTTTAAAATCCTTATTTTCCCCCATTTTTCTCAAGAAACGTCTTTTGACAGTTTATGTGCCATTAGGTTTCACCCAAAAAAACATGTTTACTGCAAGTAGCAACTTCGAAGAGAAACACAACTCCATTCAGAAGACACTATATTTAACATGGCTCTTTACACAAAGAAAGCAAGTCATGAAATCATTCCCCCAAAAACTAAGAAGTGTTTTGTAGTGCCTTCAATTGAGATTAATGCAAAACAGGAGCTGTTTTTCCTCTCAGCAAAGCACGGGTGTACAGTTACCCAAAGGTAATCCAGACAAGATCGCAGAAAGTCTTCAGCCGACTTCACAGAGGATGCCCAGGAGCAGACCACCCCGCAGAAAGAAAAAGACAAAACAAAGGAGCATCCATCGAGTTCCTAATTCATTCCAAAAATGAGCAGGTCTTAATWTTTCTCCAGATCAAATGAGCAGCAACTGACGCTCTCCCTTTTCTTTTCTTGTGGTAAAACAGGGGCTGATGGCAGCGAGGTATATATTTTCAAGCACTGTTTTCAAGACCCTTTGATTTGGTTGGAACAACAGAACAAGGAGAAAAAGAACGAGAAGAACAAAATAAGTATCCTTTTCATTAGCAGCAAAAATACAAGAGTTCGCTGTTTTTTTTTTTTTTTTAGGGTGCTGCGGTATGTTTGCAGGATTCATACAGGTAGTGGCATGGATCTCTGATTCTGAAATACATCCACACTGAATCTAATAATAGCTTTGTAGTGAGAAGCCATTTTGTCTATCTCTGCGTTGGTCATTAAGGATTTCCAGAAGGCACTTTTTGCTGTGTGTGTGTGTGTGTGTGTGTGTGTGTGTGTGTGTGTGTGTGTGTGTG